AAAAAAAAATCACATGAGCCTATCAAATGATGCACAAAAGGCCTTCAACAAAATCCAACACCTCTTTCTGACTAAAATACTTTGCAAAATAGGAAAGGACGGGAATTTCCTCAATATAGTGAAAATCAAATTTGCAAAACCTAGAACTAGCATCATTATCAATGGAGAAAGAGTTCATCATCAATGGAGAAAGAGTAAAGGCATACCCTTGTGAACAGGAGCCAGATAAGGATGTCCACTTTCACCATTCCTATTCAATATTGTGTTGGAAGTACTTCCTATGACAGTAAAAGAATAAGAGGCATCCAGATTGGCAAAGAGGAGGCAAACTGCTGCTATGTTCAGATATACACAATGAAAATCTCATCAACTCAACCAATAATCCCATCAACTCAACCAAAAAGCTATTAAACCTAACAGACCAATTTAGTAGAGTGGTAGGCGATAAGATCAACATATAAAAATCAGTAGAATTCCTATACAGTAACAAAGAAAACACAGATAAGGAAACTAAAAAAGCAAAACCATTTACAATTGTTTTTGTTGATTGCCTTCAAGTGGAGAACAACTCATAGTGACCCTATGAATAAAAGGCCTGAAGCCTTTCTTTAACTATTGACATTTCTCAAAGTTCATAGTTTCCGGAGGCATGTTGTTTAGGAAGTTTGGTGCCACTCCTCCTTCCAATAGCCACCCCAAATTGATATACTTAGGAATAAACCTAACTAGAGACAGATACGACTATTTAAGAAAAACTACAAAACATCACTTTGAGAAATAACAAGACTTAAATAAATGGAAGAATGTTTCTCCTCACGGATTGGAAGACACAATACAGTGAAAATTACAATCTTACAAAAAGCAATCTATATGTTAATGCAATCCCAATATAGATACCAGGTTCCTTTTTCAAAGAGAAGAGGCAGTTGTCAAGTTTATTTGGAGATGGAACAGACCCCAAATTAAATACACACTTCTGTAAAACCAAAATGAAGTGAGAGGTTAGGGTTAGGGTTAGGGTTAGGGTTAGCACTTCCTGATCCCAAAACCTACTAACCATCCATCTGTAATAAACAAATGGAACAGAATCAAGAACTCAGAAATAAACGCATCTCCTTATGGACTAGTATTCGACAATGAAAGAAAATCTATCAAATGGGGAAACAACAATCTCTTCAACAAATGATGCTGGGAGAACTGAATTTCTACCTACAGAAAGCTAAAGTAGAATCTACAACTCACATCATACACAAAAATTAACTTAAGCCCCCGCAGCCCCACATATTCTCGGCTCTCGTGGGCTGCTGCCTCCAGCGCCGCCTCTGGTCCGCTGTGTATCTCCTGCCGCCATGCCTGGAGGTCTGCTTCTTGGTGACGAGGCCCCCAACTTTGAGGCCAATACCACCATCGGCCACATCCGTTTCCACGAGTATCTTGGAAACTTATGGGGCATTCTTTTCTCTCACCCTCGAGATTTTACTCCAGTTTGCACCACGGAGCTTGGCAGAGCTGCAAAGCTAGCACCAGAATTTGCCAAGAGGAATGTTAAATTGATTGCCCTTTCGATAGATAGTGTTGAAGACCATCTTGCCTGGAGTAAGGATATCAATGCGTACAATTGCGAGGAGCCCACTGAAAAATTACCTTTTCCCATCATTGATGACAAGAATCGGGACCTTGACATCCTCTTGGGCATGTTGGACCCAGCAGAGAAGGATGAAAAGGGCATGTCAGTGACAGCTCGTGTGGTGTTTATTTTTGGTCCTGACAAGAAACTGAAGCTGTCTATCCTCTACCCAGGTACCACTGGAAGGAATTTTGATGAGATTCTCAGAGTAGATATCTCTCTCCAGCTGACAGCAGAAAAGAAGGTTGCTACCCCAGTCGACTGGAAGGATGGAGATAGTGTGATGGTCCTTCTAACCATCCCTGAAGAGGAAGCCAAAAAACTTTTCCCTAAAGGAGTCTTCACCAAAGAGCTCCCATCTGGCAAGAAATACCTCCACTACACTCCCCAGCCTTGAGTCTGTGGGGTGCTGGAGCGGCTCACTTAGCGGAGTGAGCCAGGGGGTGCCAGCTGCCAATCATGTGTTCCTACAGCAATTCCAGAAAACTTCCTAGTGTGATCATAGCCAAGGTCTTTAGGTGGCTCTACTACTGCTTATTAAATGAAAATGACACTCAACATTTCTTAGGATTCTTTACTCTGTGCCTTTACCAGCCTTCTGTTCCATTCAAGTATCAGAACACTGTACCTATATTGGACTCATATCTCATTGGATCTCATTGGGTTTGTGATCAACTGTTCACTGTCAGTTCATGGTAGAAAAGTCTGCCTTCATGAGAGAATGACTGTCAAGATTTTTAGCCAATTTAATCAAAAGCCTCTCCTCCATTAACCATTTTGGGGAGCAAGAGTGAGGTTCAACTTCCTCTGTAAATATCTTAAGTATATATCCCAAAACTTGAGAAGCATGAATAATCTTCAATATTTAGCATTTTTACTTTCAAAAATCCATTGCCATCAAGTCAGAACCAACTCATAGCCGACCCTCCAGGAAGAGATTGTCCACCTTTCTCTCTTGTAGCCGACAGTGGATTTGAACCACCAGAGTGCCACCGCCTGCAAAACTGGAAGACAATATATAGTTTCAGCCCTGTACTTTCCCAGTACAGCCTGGAAGGGAAGAGCAAACTAAATATTTTTGTTACAATAAATTTTCTGTGATAAATTCTGTCAAAGTTGGGAGGCTACAGAAAAGACTCCCCTTGTCTGCAGAGGAGGTTTGAGCAGTATGACGAATGCCACGTGCCTTTCACACAGTATTTCTGTACGTTAAGAGCACCTTCTAGGAAAGGGGAAGAGATGGAAGATGTTTACTATAGAACTCTCTAGCAGTGGATGACTATTTTCTGAGTTTTGCTTTTTAGGGATCAGCAAATAAATTCCTTTCTTAAAACTGAAAAAAAAAAATTTAACTTAAAGTGAATCAGAGACCTGGGGTCAAGCCTCAAACCATAAATATCATGAGACAAATGGGAATAAACATCGAAAGACTAGCTTATAGTACAAACAGGCAAGCAAATACACTCAGAAATACACAAACAAGAGAGGTTAACATCAATGAATGGAACCCTCTAAAAATTAAGTCTCTATATGCATCAGAAACGTTCACAAAAAAAAAGAAATGTTCCCCAGTATCATGAAAAGAAAACCGACTAACTGGAAAAAAAAAATATATGGCTCTATCATCTCAGATAAAAGTTCTCATAACGAAAACAAAGAATCCTACAGGGCCTGCACAATAAAAAGACTGATACACTAATTACAAAAGTACTGCCTCTGAAAACCCTTAGGAGGGCCAGCTATGGATCAGTTCTGACTCAGAGGCACAAAAATAACAACAACAAAAACAGAGTATCCATAAAAAGCAGACTAATAACCCAATAATAAAATGAACAAAAGATACAGAAAAATTTTTCCCAGTGAAAAACATTTGAATGGCCAAAAGACACATGAAGAAATACTCAAAATCCCTAGCAATCAGAGTGATACTAATCAAAACAATATATATACAATAATATAACATCTTACACCAGGAGCAGTTGCAAAGTTTAACAGGGAAGCAATAGTGAGATTTGGAGAAGACGAGGAGTGACTGAAACTTTCATGCACTGCTGCTGATTAGACTGCAAAATGTTATGACCACTCTGGTAGGCAGTTTAGCGTTTCTTAAAACGCTGAACCTAGATATCCCTTATGACTCAGCTATTCCACTACTAGGAATATATTGCATGTAAATTAAAATAAGACACAGATATGTGCACCTATGGTCTTAGCAGTATCATAGACAATAGCAAAAAAATGGCAACAGTCGAAATTTCCAAAAACGAATGAATGGACTGAGAAACTGGTACATTCACATAATGGAATATTATGCAGCACTATGAAAAATGATTATGTAAAATACTGTTATCACTTGGGAGAGTCTAGAGTACATTATGCTGAGTGTACTAACTCAATCTCATAGTAACAAATACTGCATAAAACTATTATTGTAAAAATTGAAGGATAAATATTTAGATGTATGTGCATGTCCAAAAGAGGAATGGGAGGGGGTAGAGGGTGGGGGAAAGGAAAAGGTGGAGATTATACTGGGATGTTATTTTTGCTGTTGTTATTAGATGCCATTGAGTCGAGTACATCTCATAGTGACCCTATGAAGAAAAGATCTGAACCCTGTTCTATCCTATGCCATCCTCATACTTCCTGACACCCAAGAGTCCATTGTAGCTGTCATCATGTCAAGTCAACAGGCTGAGGGCCTTCCTCTCCTTTGATGACTCTCCACCCTTTCCAGCATTTTGTCCCTCTCCAAGGAACAGCCAACCCCTCCTAGCAACAGGCTCAAAGTATGAGGTAAAGCCTCATTCTTCTTTCCACCAAAGAGCACTAAGGCTGCATCTTCTCCAAAACCTGTTTATTCTTTTTGCCATCCATGGGATGGTCATCAGTGTTCTTCTCCAACACCAGCTCAAAGGCATCACTTCTTCCTCTGTCATCCTTATTCACTGTCCAGCTCTCAGATGCATAACAAGTAGCTGGAAAGACTATGGCATGAATCAGACAAACCTTAGTCCTCAAACTGGCATCATTATTCAATAATTTGTAGAGGTCCCTAACTGCAAACTTTCCCACTGCAATGCATCTCATTTCCTGACTGCTGGTATCAAGACAGCAGAGTTTAGTGTGTGGATGTGGGGGTTTATCAAAGAATTGGAAAGATTTATTAAAAAAAAAAAAAGAGATGGGTAATAAATAATAGGCATAGATCAATAATGATTGGCTATATGAAATACAGTATGTATGAATGGTCGTATAAAGCACAGTGTAAAGGAAGGATTGTGCAGAACACAGAATACATGAATAAAACACCATGTATGCAAAAATAAATTCAAAAATTGCATAAATACATTTAGAAAAACTCGTGACAGTTGTACAACATGTTGAATATGATTAATGGCATTAATTATACATGAAAAAATATAAGCAGCAAATGTTTTATTATGTATATATGTACAATAAAAATATTATCCAGAAATTACTATAATGCTCAAATTATATGTAAGTTATTTTATCTATAAACTGTGAATTTAAATAGTATAATGATGTTTACTGCTTAATGTGATTATATTTGATTAAGAGAAGAAAGAGAAAAGTTCTGGAATAGACTGAATTATATTATATACCTTGATCTGGAGTCACTGAGTAGTTAACTTACTCATATCACCAAACGATTGGCAGCTTATGTCTATCAAGAGACACCTCAAAAGAAAAGCATGTTAATGTACTTCTGAAAAATGAGCCACTGAAAACTCAATGGGGCAATTTTATTCTAATTCAAATGGTGTTACCATGGATCAGAATCAATTTCACAGCAACCAGGTAGGAAAGAGATTCCAAATCAACAGAAAAGATGCCGATTAACTAATAATTGTATTAGAAAGGCTAAGTAACCTTCCTCCTCAGAGGAGATTGCCCATCTTTTCAACAATTGAGAAGACTTCATTACAAATCTAGCAGTCAGCCTCAGTTTTACCTTCTTGTAATAACTCTAGCTAAAAGTCATCCTAAACAGACAGGTTTCCAACACTTTTCAGGCAATAATTTACCGAAATGCTCATCTAACTATAAAGAGACAAACTGGCAAGCAAAAAACATGGGCACAAACCAGACAACCTGTAATTTTATATGGGAGATGCAGGAGCAAGAAACAATGCACACTGAAAGAAAAATGACAACAGTCAAGTACTCTTATACCTCTCAATACTCAGTTGTTGCTGCTGTGTGCCATCAAGTCAGAACTAACTAATTTCAAAGGCAGTAAATCGCCCAGAAAAATTACCCAAACTTCAAATCGCAGAGGAGCTGATGGATTTGAATAATGTGCCTTTGAGACTGCAGCACAGCTTCTTACCACTCCAACACCAAAGAGACAGAGAGAGAAACAAAGAGACAGAGACTGAGAGACAAATCAGCGCACACAGACACAAAAACACACACTCATTGACAGAGCCAACAGATGATGCTAAAATTTCACAGCTTTGAAGAGAGAAACAAACAACTCCACAATAATAATAAAAGACTAAAATTAACCACTGCTGGTGAAGGACAGAACAACTAGAAACTTAACAAAAACACAGAAAGTGTAAATGACATGACTAAGCAACTGGCTTTCACTGACAAATATAGGCTATTTCACCTAACAAGAGTACACTACACAATCTCTACTAGTGTACATGAAACATTCTCAAGAACAGATCATATGTAAAATCACAAAATCAAGCATCAATAAGTTAAAACATCGAAATACAACAGAGTATTGCTGTCAAACAAATCGTAATTCTATAAAATTCAACAACAGGAGATCAAGAATAAAAAGAAAGTACATGGAAAGTAATTAATACCCTGTGTGTTGTATTGTGTAATATAGTAAGTGGGAGGAGGGGGGGAACAAACTCAACCTAATTGCTGTTAATTCAGACTAGACTCAGAACCGACCCTCCAGTGGTTAATTGGAGGCTGTACATTGAACAGGAGACCTTATTGACACGGGGCAGAAGAAGAAATATCACTACTTATTTTGGTAACTTGATACCAAAAAAAGCCTCTGAAATATATATGATGTGACATGAGTAGAAAAGATTGCATGTTGTTGTTGTTAGGTACCTTAGACTTGATTATAACTCATAATGACCCTATGAACAATCTATCTGAACTTTCCTTAAACCTGAACCATCTTTATAATCTCTGATAAATTTGATCAATTGCTGGCTATAAAAGTTAAGAAAAATCCTCAACTATTTCATTTTTGCCTTTCATAGTTGATGCTTGTATTTGAAAAATACCTATATTAAAAATTCTTCCTTGTATTTATAAGGAGAATATGCTAAAAAACAGACATAAGTTCAAGATAGATCTGGGAATTTTCTTTGACTGTAACTGGAACATTATTCATATAAG